GCTTACTGAGCAAGTATGTGACAAAATGAGATATAAAATAAAATCAACATAAAAATAATTGTTAGTAAAACGTAAGTCAAATGTCACTTATCTCCTTTCAAATATGTTCAACTCTTATTAAGTGTAAAATATATAATGTTCCTTGATAAATTTCATGAAGTTTATTTTATTCTCAAGCATAATAAAAGTTATGTTAATCAAGTCATGTTTAATAATAATGCATCCTACTTACAGATCTATTTTATTTTTAGGATGATATTACAAAAGTGAAGTTCAGGCATGGATAATACTTTTAATTGAATTTATTCAGTTCCCAATAGTTATGTTAATCAAGTCATGTTTAATAATAAATGCATCCTACTTACGGATCTATTTTATTTTTAGGATGGAATTACAAAAGTGAAGTTCAGGCATACATAATATTTTTAATTGAATTTATTTAGTTCCCATTTTCTCATAGGTCTGTAATTTTTTTCATTAATGGTCCTTAAAAGTACTTAATTTCCGTGTGCAGAAATGTGTACGAACCCTGTGTTAGCACATAACTAACTAATAGCATTATTTGCATGAATTAAAAATTTAAACTAGAACAAAGTATAAAATCCAGGCCACCAGCATTTCTTCTTCCTGCCAACCTATATGTATTGGTAAGAAAGGTAATATTCGTGGTCAAAAAAATTGACAGTGAATTTTCAGGGAATAAGCATGAATTAGGGTTCTCACACATGATTTTACTGTTTTTAGAATGCTGACTGTGTGTATGTATTAGTTTTTTTTTTTTTTTTCCTCCCCATGATAGCTCATATCAAACTTCCGAAAATTTATATTTTTGTATCTTTCTCCATTCATATAAAGATTTTATTAGATTTGGGGTAAAATTGAGCAGCTAAAAGTGTTACTTTGCTTGAAACGCATACCAATTTTTAATGGACAACCCGGAAGTGGTACTTTACTTGAAATCCTTTACAGTTAATAATGCTTCTCAACTTACAATACAACAGCATCTCCCTTATTTCACTGGAAGGTTGTTGTTTTGCTGAGCTATTATCCTTTCCTCCTCTGACAAAATCTCCTCTACATTTTCTTGCTGTGACCCAGAATTCAGCTCCATAAAGTCTTCAATGGTCAGCTCCTGGTTATGCTCTTCCACTAACTCATTGATGTTGTTGCTGTCCACTTCTAATCCCATAATCTTATCCATAGATGCAGTTTTATCAATTAAAGGATCTGCAAACCCTTTGGAGTCGTGTTCAACAACGCTGCCCAGCCAAAGCCTCTTCTATGTGCAGAAGTAAGTGTTCTATTGGTAACCCTTTCCCATACCTTGCCAATCATCTTGAGACAGGCAACAATGTGAAAGTGGTCTTTCCAGAACTCTGGGAGTGACATTAGTTTCTTCAGTTACTTCAAAGCAATGCTTGAAGAGACTTTAGTGTAGAGCTTTTTAAAATTTGAAATGACTTTCTGGTCCATGGTCTGCAGTAAAGGGAAATTGTTGGGATGCAGGAACTGGATCATGATGAATTTTAATTCTTCAAGGAAGTCATCTTCTAGGCTTGATGGATGTGTAAGAGTGTTGTTCATAACAAGCAAGTCATGAAATGTCAAATTCATATAAAGCAGGTATTTTTTTTTATAGATGGTCCAAGCATTTCATTGATCCAGTTTATAAAAAAAATTATATCAATTAACAGGGTTCGTAGCGGTCCTTACAAGTGCTTTTAAGTCCTTATATTTGAAAATAAAATATAAAGGCTCTTATAGGTGCTTACTTTTTCTTTAAAGCCCTTATTTTTTTGTTTTTAGTGCTTATTTTTTGCTTTTAGTGCTTTTTTTTTTTAATCCTTTGTTTTTAATGAACGCGCATTTTTTTCCGGTACCAAAGCCGAAACTAAATAAATAACTTTTCTTCCTTATATGCAATGTTAGATGGTGAATCATACACCTGGACATTGCTTTTCCCCCCTTTCTCTGCATTAACGTATGGTGCGCGCGAGAGTACAGACAGGTGCACGTCGTTCTGTTGGTCAAAGAATTACAAAAACGGTAGAAAATCCCGGTACATTCGGTATTCTTTTCCTCCCACCCAAATACTACACATGTTTGAATTTCTATCAAGATTTTAATAATTTGCATTCTCGTTCCGCATGGTCAGTTCATATTCGTGTTTATTATGATCGTTATGCTTATATTATGAGCATATGAATGAATATTTATAATAATATAGTTGCAGTAACTGCTGAAGTATAGATAAACTTCCAAAAATGGGTGTGTTTTTACACAGATTAGCTTTCTAAGGAATAATATTCGGAATGGCTTAAATAAAAGGAAAGTAATCGAATAGTCAAAATAATTTAAATTTTTTTTTCAATACAGTATACAGTATGGAAAGTTGGTAGGTTCTCCCCCTCCCTCCGCAAAATCTTGAATTTTGAAACTGTTGCAATTTGCTGCAAAACAAGCAACAGACTTTTTTTTTTTTTTTTTGGGTCATTTGTCTAATTTGGATTGAATAGGACTAACAGTTTTTGCAGTCTACCCAACCCTAAGTGAAGAATTGATTCTGTTCCGGAAAATTTAACGCAGTCTGTTGAAAATTAGAATCAGAAACACCCCAGATTGGTAAGTCTCTTTCTTTTCCTTTATTTAGTTCTTCTTTCTCCGAATCGGAATCAGGTGTTGATTCCAATTGCGTAATATCACATATGGAAGAATTAAGCCGCACGTATTGCGCAATAACGTTTGGGGTATTTTGCATTGATAATTAATTTTGATGTTCAGTCTGAGATTTGTTTATGAACACTTAAAAGAGTTTTACTGTGCTTTCTAAGCAGAATATTTCTCAGTTCTGTTGGTTTTTTATATGATGCACATATCGAAAATGTCAAAATCATTTATTTAGCCTAAATTTAAATCTAAAGAACGGCTACAATCTCCCCCACTCCTCTTTTTCCAGTTACTATCTGGAAAATTCGGGAATTTCCGAGTATGCTGGTTAGTTAAGCTTTTACTGCTAAAGGATGACTGAATGAAGCAATTTCCCGTCTTCTGATTTCAGAAATGTGCCTCTTTTTTACATAAATTACTTTTACATAAATTACTTTGCTATTAATTACTTGCTTATATTACTTACTTATATATGTTAAGGGAAAACTGTTATGCAATGAAAATTTAGAAAATGTTCAGAATTTTGATTTAAGTTAAATTATTTAAATATTAATATGAGTGGAAAAATAAATTGTATTTATTATTAGGTGCCAAACGAATACAATTAATATGGCTTATTATTATTTATTTTCTATATTTTCAACTGAAATATCATCATTAAATTTTGTAATATAGTTTAGTTCTGCAAAGTTTTTTTCCCTCTCATTGTAAACTAATTCTGTAAATTGAACTTTCATTTAATTTTTTTTTAAAAAAAGTTAATTGTTTTCCATTGTTGAATGCTCATTCTCTTAATAAATATTGCATTGCTCATATTTTAAATTACAAGTCTAATTTTTCTTTTAAGGTTATGCAGTTGTGTATAATGTAATTAGACAGGTGCTTATTTTTTCCTTAAAATGTGCTTGAAAAGTGCTTATAGGTGCTTATTTTTTTAACTAAAATGTGGCTATGAACCCTGAATTAAGCCTTGTTGTTGTACCTTCACATGACATTTAGCCTGCTCTTCTGAACTTTATACTTCTTGAAGGCTCCCAGTATATATAGGTTGGCAGGCTCTAAAAAATAAAACAAGCAGTAGTTTAAATTTCAAATCATTACTTTCATTTGCACAAAACAATAGTATGACATAATCTTTCATTAGTATGTGATGCAGCAATGCCTTCTTCTTTACCATAATATAAGTTTGCTTCAGCATCTTTTTCAAGAAGAGACCAATCTTATCACAATTAAAAATCTGTTGTGGCAGATGACCTTCAGAATTTGCTAGCTTCTTGAATATACCGATGAAATTCTCGGCTGCCTCTATGTTTGATCTTGCTACTTCTCCAATCCTCACAATGCTGTAGATGCTGGTTCTACTTTAAAATTTTTTGAACTGCCCATGCCTTGTCTTGAACGTTTCTTCTTCATTCATTGATAATCAAGGTATCTTCTTAATGAGGTCACAAAAGTCAATTTCGTCTTTTCTCAAATTATGTTTTCATTAACAGAGCCACCTTGCATTTGTTTCTTGATGATTCATATGTGAAGCAATCTTTCAGCAGCATCGAGAATACATGCTAATTGCATAGAAATTCTTGTGGTACTCTTTGGAGCATCATTCTCCTTGATCTTATCCTTATTTTCGAGGATAGTAGAAACCATTGATATAGGACGATTACATGCACAGGCTAGGTCAACCATGCTTACATTTTGTTCTCCCTTCTCAGTGATCTGGCATTTGATTTTTATGACGATTTTTCTTCTCTTACCCCTATTGTCTTACATCTTTTTTTTTTTTTTTTTTTTTTTTTTTCGGACAGACATGTAAGCATGCTTAAACTTCCCACTAAAAAAATTGCTCAATTATGTGTCTGGATACAGTTTTCATAAATGATAGTAAGTTGCTAACTGGAGGAATGCTAAACACAGAATGATAGCCAAAATTCAAGTAAGAATCCTGCATATGATGTCACGATGTTTCTGTGTTACTCATTCTGCAAAACATTGCTCTTTAAGGGAGTCCCCCCCCCTTCAGTTTGTTTTGCTCATTGTGGAAAGTGCTTATTAAGAGAGGTTTGAGGGTATATTAAAATATAATCCAAAATTAAATTTTCTCTTAAACTAATAAACCAGTAGTGATACTTTAATTTGAGCTCTGAATAGATTTTCATGAAGAAATATATTCTGAAATAAACCAAAGCTTCTGAGATATGGAATTTAAAACATGTCTGTGGTTGAGGACAACATTGCATTTATAAGCTTAAACATGTTTGAATGACTTTGGGTTGCCTTTTCCCACTTCTATCATGTTAGCCATATTTCAACACTATGTTCACTTTCTTATGCAGGATGGGACAACTGCCCAGATACCTGAACATGAGACTGAGTTCACCCAAGTCATTCTTGGAATTATGCTAGCTGCAACACTAATAAGCTCATTATAATGATGAAGTCTCGTTTTGAAGCAATTAAATTTGTTAGTCTCAGTACTCTGTTTCACTGTTGTGTCTAATATATTTTCAAATAAAAGGATGATACCACTAAATCTTGTTATGTATTATTTAAAAAAAAATAATATAGCAAATGTAAATAGTGCAGCAAATATATATATATATATCCATTTATTGCAATTCTTTGTGTATATTTTCTGTGTATTTGAAATGTTTTTTAATTATTTGCTTACATCATTTAAAAATTTAAATTTTGGTTTTAAATTTATTAGTTTTCTCTCACCCTTTTTGATTTTGAAGATATCTCGTTTTGTAATTTTTACATTAAGTTTTTACTCAATAACTTTTACTTCTTTAGTATTGCATTGTTGTTTTTACGTGGTGTTACTATTTATTCAGGAACTACAGTATCAAATCTACTTTTAAGCAATCACTTTTGAACTTTCCTCTTCTTTGAAATTATTTTAAAATTTTGCAGCTCAATGCGCAAATTCTTGACTACATAGGTCTCTTTTGTTCGTATTTTCTTTCTACTTTTATATATATATAAATATTGTAACACTTAATATTGTAATGGGAAGCCTAACGTTATGCTGTTTTTAAAGATTTTGTTAAATTTTTTTGGTGGCCTTATTCAAGGTACATAGTGAAGAGTCATTTCTTAATTATAATCAAGGAAATGTCATTTATTGATGACATTTTAGGAACTTTGAAATTTCAGGACTTTGCTCAGAGAGTTAACAAAAGTACATGATCGTAGTGTTTCCCTAACATGGCTTCATAACAACAGGATATTATTTGTAAACATGGAGAAGATCATCAAATTGAGGAAAGTGACAAAAAGTTTATTCACAAGGATTATTAATGAGATATATGAAGACAGATCCTAATGATGTCATTGAAATGCAATCAAAATTGCAGATTTTACAGAAAAAAAAATTTGAAGAATTACAAAGTTTTGATGATTAAATAATGGATGAAATGTTAGAAGCTAACAAGACAGGAAAGGACTTAGAAAATGAAATTCTGTTGAACGTAACTTGAATAATTATTTTAGGCTTAAAATTATTTTAGATAAGAAAATAAAAAAACTCATATTGATAGTGTAGCAAATTCTTCTGATAGTTTAAATATTTCGTAAAAACGAAAGTTTAAACTTCCATGAATTCAGCTAAAGAAATTTGATGGAAATATTAAAGAATTTTTGCTATTTTTGCTTCCTTACTTAAAGAAAATACATGAGGCTGATAATAACAGGGTTGCCACGCTACCTGGAGAACCGGGAAAAGTCAGGGAATTCGAAAATTGACCAAAATATTCAGGGAAAAGTCAGGGAATTTAAGTATTTTTGTCAAAATCTGGAAAAGTCAGGGAAGTTCATTCAACGATCCCGCCAAAAAAAGCGATTTTTGCGCCGACGTCGGAAGAGGTAACTTTTTTGACGAATTATGTATCACGTGAGTGTCATTCGGGTAGCTGGCATAGAGCCAATTTTCGCAGCTCCAATTTGATTGTCTTTTAGAAAGGCAAAGCAACTTTTGGTTCCAGTATTCTCGAGAATCGCATGTGCAGTGCATGAACTAAAGAAAGTACCTGTTCTCGTATAAAACAAAATGGGTTTAATCCTAGTATACGGTACTATGGAGGTTAGAATCAAAGAATATGTATTGTAAAGAAGGAAAATCTCTCTGCAACAGACGTGGCTGTGGCTCCATTCCATCATAGAGGGAAACAGCTGTGCATGTCTGATATATCTGTCACCAAAGCTCGAAACCGGTGTCGAAGTTCGAAGGTCACGTTATCAAGAGTTCATAAAATGAATATCGTTTAAAATTTCTTTAACCACTTGCGCTAAAAAGACGTGCCACGCACGTCAAGATGCTTTTGTCTCAAACCGCGAGCGACGTGAACACCACGTCGATAAGCATTTATCGCAAAAATGAAAATAACGTGGTGCACACGTCGCCTAACAACGAGATTGTTTATTTCTCGAGTTACAGCTCTGGATTGCACTCGCAGATGCGGAGCGGCGTAAATGAGACACTTTACCGCTTGTTATATTGTAGCGCACGGCACCGCAACCGTGAAGTTTAGTCTTAGCGCGAGTGGTTAAACTGTAAAAGAAAAGAAAATATTTTTTGGCGCAAGTAAATTAATTCATGGATTAGTTATTTTCAGAGGAAAAAAAAAAGAAAACTACGAAAACCCGTTTTTAAAATTATTGCGAAAAATCCAAGAAGAAACGTCCTTTGATAAAACGTTTCTTCTTGGATTTTTCGCAATAATTTAAAAACGGATTTTCGTACTTTTCTTTTTGTCAAAGAGCGTTTCTTCTTAACACGTGTTTCTCAATTTCCTGTACACAATCGCGGAGAGGATAATTCTGACCGCCAGGTTACGTCCCCAAATCCCTTGGCAAAATTTTCCCTCCGTATTCTAGCGGCGGCGTAATAGCATTTTACTTGTATGGAACCTTTTCTTCTTTACATAGACGTTCTTTGTTGGTTAGAATAATAATGGGATTTGGCGACATCTTGATGCGCAGAGTAAACGGGTCATTTTGGTCTTGGCGACAATTTTCAAAATCGTGCCAAAGCCAAAGCCTTACCGTATACTAGAATTTTACCGCAAAATCTTTTTAAACCCTTTTTTTTTTTTTTTTTTTTTTTTTAATAAATACCTTGCCATTTTGCAGTAAAATAAAAAAAAATAGTAATCAGTCATCTAGGCTAGCCATGTAATATAACTATATTCGCTAAAATATAGATGATTATTCTAATTCAATTTTTAAGTAGTAATTATTTTTATGTTATTCATATAATTTAATGTTGCTTCTTCCCTCTAAATTTATTTATTATTAGTAAATAATATTTCCAAATTTCAGGAAATTTTCTCTGGCATAATCCTGAAAGTTAATTATAGCAGTATGATGACATACCATCACGAAATTTAATGCACATATTTTTTCCTTATGTATGCTGCAAAATAAATATAAAATACCTCAATGTATTAAAATAGATTTCTTTCTTTCGTTTAGCTGCAGAATGTCTGCAAAAAAAAAGCCTTATTTTATTCCAGATTGAGAAGATTCTAATCTCAATCTTCAGTGGAGAAAACAACAACTATTATAATTATATTTGTGTTTTCAAGTGTTAAGGTTTTAAGAACATACCTCATGCAAATTAAATTTACCTAAAATTTAACCTAACTATTTAGCATTGCGTTGTGATTTATAAGGACCGGATTAGCCTCGTGTTGAACTGGTGATGATCATGAGTAATAATTAAAATAAAACATACATTTGTTATCCAATATATATATCTTAAATTTTATTAAGTTTCTTAAGTGGAAAACTAAACAAAATTATCAAACAAAGTATACCAAGAATAATTAAGAATAAATGTCCTCTGGGATTTATTGAATAATTAAGTGAATTTGCTACACAATACAAGTAATACCATAATTAAATTACCTCTTAGCACAGCTAACGTACATTACGCGGATAGACTGGAATTTTCTTGAAACACACCTGGAAAACCTGGAAAAGTCAGGGAATTTCATTCTCCTGTTTGAGTGGCAACCCTGTAATAAAGATCTTGCTGGTAAATTGCAGTACCTTTTTAACCAACTGTGATAAATTCTCATGCAAGAGAATTAGTAGAAAGTTGCAACTGCAGATAATTATCTAAAGGTAATAGAAGGTTTAAGATTAAGATTTGGCAAAAACGATTTATTAATAGAAGTTTACATTGGAGAACTTTTGTCATTAGTCGTTCAAAATGTTGCGGCGTTCAATAATCTTAATCATTCAAAACACCATGACAAATTCCACTTCTTACCTTTCCACTTTGATGACAGATTAGAATCTCATTTGAGAGCATTAGAATCTCTAGTTATAGCAACTGACACATATAATGCAATTCTGATTCTGTTGGTAGAATCCTGTGTTTCAGAAGAAGTTTTAAGAATTTGGCAAAGCCAAATGATTGGAGGAGCACCTAAAGATCGCTTTGATGATTTAATGAAATTTGCTCGAAACAAAGTCAAAGCAGGAACAACACATTTCAATTGCAGTTTTGGGTTTTAATTTTAAGAATAAATCCTTTAAGGAAAACAAAAGGGTGAATTTTGAAAGTAAATAAGGAAATTACTAGTGTTACTGATTTATTCATTAAAGAAAATAAGTTAAGTAATGCATGTTTATTTTATACTGGTAAACATAAGAGTAATGAAGGTGTTAAAGCTAAAGATATGTCATTAACACAAAAGAAAAAAGTTCTGTTTGATAAAAGATGTTGTTTTTGTTGACTGAGATCAAGACATAATACAAAGAACTGTAAGGTTTTGATGAAATGTTTGTTATATTCAAAGAGACATTTTTTAATAATGTGTCTGGAACAACATAAAACAAATATTGATAACAATAAAGACAAAAATAATTTAGTTTGTGAAAACAAACCTCTCGAGTCAGCAAAGGAGAATGTGTTGACACAGTACATTCAGTTTCATTTTCTAATCCTGAAGTTTTTCTTCAGACATTAGTAATAAAGTTAATAGTTAATAACACAGAGGGTCCTGTTCATGCGTTAATTGATACGGGATCACAAAAGTCATATATTTTAAAGTGTTCAGTTTTAAATATGAATTATGAGCCAATTAAATAAGAAATTGTACAACATTCTTTATTTGGAGGACAGTAACAAATGAATGGAAATATAAATTTTATAAGATTTATTTAGGTAGTCTTGTGCAATAATGAAGCATTGGATCAAGGAATGATTTGTGGTGTCATCCTCCAAATTATCTATGGACCCTGATTAGAATCTGAATTCAAGAGCTCGAATCTTCTAATATTATTATAAATCACATGCAAAAGCATCCAAGTCCTATTGAAATATTAATTGGATCAGATAGACTGCACATTAATGGGAAGTCAGAATAGAAGAAATGTAAATATGGCTGTTACCACACCTGTACCGACAATACGATAAGTGCAAGGTCGTGCGGTGCACTACATCGCTGAGTCAAAAAGGCGCCGAGCAATCATTAAAACAAGCAGTTCGTCTCGCTGCCTGTCTGAACAAGAAAATTCTTG